AGTAGAGAGCTGACTAATTTTGAAAAAGCCTTGTGTTACTTTTAAACACAGTTTGATGGGTTCATGTAAATTCTAAGAGATGGCGTCATTACAATAATAATAGGCGGATAAAAACATTTAAAATCTGGAAAAACATTAAAAATCTGGAAAATGTTAATAAGTTCATTTTGAAATAAGGTTAATATGAAAATTATAATAAAACTGTAGAAATAACAAAAAACATAATTTTAACATGTAACATTGAAACTCTTAAAAACTGAAAAATGGTGATACAAAAATTTTTTAAGCAATCATCTTTTGTGGTATTGATATTTAAAAAAATTGAAAATCCAGTCATTCTGGAAATATATTCCTACTGTTGTCGAACTGTAAACACAATTTGTCAAAATCAACAAAACCTGTACATAATTACGGTTATTAATAAAAAAAACTCAATTTATGTTTAAACCGAAAATTCGAAACTTCGCAAATTGCGGCCCAAGGCTACAACGACAATCATACTTCCATTGTAGCAACGTCAACAAGCAACCCAAAACTTTTTCGTTTCATCCCCGCGAGCGGGCCCCGATTGTGGGGCTCGAATCCCCGAAGTAGCGGACCCACACACGTTAGGGACCTCGTCACCATCATTTATTCACATGTAATTTTGTCGGAGAGTAAAATTAACCTGAATTATGCAGTGATCCGGTTAATCTGGAAATTTTTAACATTGCAACTGTAATTGAACGACATCCAGGGATCCGGTGACCGTCGTTCCAATTGAAAATGTTGAGAAGCTAATGAAAAATGGCGGATTGTGTCACGGGGTTTTTAAATAAGTTACCGAAAAGTTTTTCACAAATATGTTTTGTAATAATAATACTCTCCCTATTCACTCCTTTACGAGTGAATTTTTTACCTCAGAAGCAGAGCTTGTGCAGGGTAATTATCATTGGCGTAACTAAAACTCTTTTCTGGGAGAAGGATAGGAATATTGGTAATTGCATCGACCTGTCCCGGGTTAACAATCAGACCATGTTCAATAAATTGTTCGTTCAATAATATAGACTAAGTACGATAATTCAGAATAGCAGAAGTTACATTTATTTTTTCGTTTCATGAATTCGTTTTAAAGCTTCACTTAGCTCCTCTTACTGCTCTTCCAACGTTAAAGTATAGATTATATCTTTATTTAGATATACGAAAGAATAACCTTCTAAGTAAACATCTAATACTTGGACATTTAAACTTTGGCAGGTAATTGGGGCGGAATGTGAACCAAAAGTAATTCTATAAAATTGATATAGGCCACGATTGGGAGCTGCAACTCACGAAACTCTCACAAGCAACTAATAATTGCCAGTAAGCAGATTTGAAGGCAAACGTAGTCAGTTAAGGGGGATCCTTAAGTTTATCTTTTTATCGTTAATGTCCGTTATAGATGATCTAACCACTGTAACCACTTTAATCTTATTAGTTCTAGTATTCTTGTTTCATTCTACAATGCATACATTTCTTTTATCTACGACTATGATTAATATCTAGATTTGAATTGAACTAACTTCGATATTTTAAGTTAATAATAAGATACTAACCAGTAAAAAAAGAATTAAAAGCCCAAACATTGACTTTAAAGTTAACGGTACTGATTTTAAAAATCAATAAATAATTTTTTTGAAGGAAACACGCACATAACCGACAACTTCCTACTTCTATCACGTCCATTTTAATCGCCATTGGTGGGCGCTCGTTTATTTATTTGAAATTCGTGAAGAAAAAACTCTTCTTTCAGATAAAACCACTGGATGTATTCAACACGTGTGCCACTAACCACGTGCTGCTCATTTAAACGTTGTTCGGGGCATTAACGTTATCGAAAATTTGAATTAAAATGATTGGAATATGTCGGTTGATACTCGTATAATTAAATTAACATACTTAATTGATATTAAATGAAAAAAATGTGTATGAGGAGTACGGTTGATGATTATAAGCAAATTTTTAATAAATTAATGTTAGGTATGTACCGGGTGCCGGAAATGTCAGAAAGATGTGATATTTTTTATGAATTAGGCATTCCAAACAAAATGGTTGTCCGTAGGTAATGACAGGCCACTGACAGGCTTATGATAGGGTGATAGGGCCGCTTTAAGATAGGGCCTGTTAATGACAACAGGCCCACAGGTTTGCCATATCTAAACTGTCAGTTCCCACTGGCAGCATTTTGACAGGTCGTTGGAATGCCTAAATGGTACTTGTAGAACATTAAAATTAAGAGTAAATGTCAAAATGTCTGTTTTCATTTCAATCAATTCTTTGTTTATGGAATGAATTTCATTGTTCTTCCAGTACCTATTCACCTCAAGATTCTTAGGTGGTCCTAAATCATGACCACAATAGTTGTCTATGTCTACCGTTGATCTTTAATACATGAAACGAATTTAATTACTCCCAACACGCTACCTTGCATTACTCCTTCACTTCAACTATGAAACATCGTTATCTATCGAACAGCATAACTAAATTAATGTTACGTGTTGACGAATTTGAGGTCAATATTTGAAGACGCTATCAACAACCACAAACAAAACAGTCGATCTATCTAGAGAGGCGCCCAAGACACGCTTCCCCCCATCTTCCACTTTTTTTTAAATTAACACGAGGGGAACGAACCAACGATGTTTCTCACCGCTGCAGCAGCACTCTTGATTTGATTTGACTCATCTGGGACGTGTTTTATCTCGCGATACACCAACTCAGATCAAGTTGGCCCCGGAATTTATTAATGTATTTAAATAGACTATGTCGCAGTGATGTCGCTATCTTCGAGTGGCAAATGCCACACTGTCGTTGGCGTTTTGTCGAGCTTGCTGTTTTTGAGGTTATGTCGAGGGGATGTATGCAAATTTCTTATTGAGTCGAGCTGTTGGATACCGAATTAATGGTTCATGGAATATTGCGGCACTTTTTTAGTTGAATTTTAAAAGAAAGCGCGATCATTATCATCATTTAATATCCATGGGCGTAACTAGAGATTTTTATGTTCGAAATGTAAAATAGATTGGAAATTATGTATGTTTTGTCACGTGCACGCATTTCCTGTTGGGGTCACGACCCACTATTCATAAAAATGTTTAGTTACTGAAAATTGTACATCACATTGTTATATTGTAACTTTTGTTTATCCTCTTATTTTCATCTATGAGACAAATACTTAAACGCCAATGCCCAGCTTAGAAACGTTTACTTTTATGTTGAAACAATGTAGACCTTCCAGTGATATTACAGCGCTACTTCTTGTTTTATTTTTTCAACGTTACTGAAAGTTCCTATAAAATTGATGTCTTTATAACAAACCAGATGTTCCTGTTATATCCAAGAAAGCCTTGTAGATGTTATTAGAATGCACATAAAATAAAATCGAATTAATGAACCAAATGTGACGTTCCAAATACGATACAGTCCAACGTCCCACCTTTTTATTTATGTATATATTGTCCTGTTTATCTTTTAAATTTTTTAAGGATTGTGGACTTTTATTTTATTTATTTCATGGGTGATTCATCTAGTGGATTTTTTTTAATCATATAACACTGGAAGCTCTTTCTCGCTCGAAATCTACACAGAAAGTTAATATCATATCTCCGCGGAACGAAATTAATCGCTTTACGCTTAAAAAACGTTGGGAAATAATGCGAACTTATTTCCAAATTCAATGCTCTGTAGCGTATGGAAAAGAAGTTTTGGTCGAAATGAGGCACCGACCGCGGCTGGTGTACGCAAGTTTGTACAAAACAAAAAGTTCGTAAGACTGGCATGCGAATGGGCAACACTCACGATCCCAGTGTCATACGATGCGCACTGACGAGAATGTGGCTGCCATAGCTGAGAGTGTGCGACTCAGTCCTGAAATATTGACTCGTTATTGATCTCAACAACTCAACATTTTACGCACTATCGTGATGCATTTTTCGCTTGAGACTAACCATAGCTATGCTATAGCAATACATCCCTCGGTATTTCAGGCCGAGGTATACGCAATTTTGCAATGGTCAAAAACGAACAATGAAAGAGCTGTCGAAAATCAGCATACTCAAATAATGTCAGACAGCCAAGCGGCATTTAAGGCCATATCGAGTCAGAAAGTTACGTCGAGGCTGGTATGGGAATGCATCGAAGAACTAAGCACACTGGCAGACCGAAATAGAGTAAAACTATTTTGGGTGTCAGGTGACCAAGGAATCGAAGGTAATGAAAAAGCTGACGAACTTGCAAAAAGAGGGTCAGAAGAAACACCGGAACCAGACACAAACCCAGGAGTACTAAGAAGTAGAGTCCGGAGTTTCATAAACGACTGGATTCGGGAACAACATATTAACTTTTGTGGAAGCACCCCAAAACAGGCACATGGAAAAGCCTTCATAGGCAGACCATGTCCTAAAAGAACTGGAGAACTACTCCTTATGAATAGGAACCAGTTGAAAGTGATAACAGGGTTCATGACTGGACACACCCCATTAAAGCGATACTTGAACAAAATTGGTATGTACAATGGGGAACTCATGTACTTTGTCACAAGAAACCAGAAGCGGCTAAATACATACTGTGCGAATGCGAAGCTCTAGATCGCAAAAGACAGGCATTTTTTGGACAACCCCAGGTTGATTCAACAACGTATAGAACCCAGTCCTCGCGCCCGAGACGTGTGATTCCCAGCTCATTTCGTCCCGAATAGATTAGGTTTATATATGATCTGCGTTTCAGTTTTCAAATCTATATATATATTTGGACTTTGCTTGGGTATGAAATATACCACACCAATAATAATTAATTGTTGGTGACTCTTCAGATGATCTCAGAACAAATTCAAGGAATTCATGACTTAATATTGATATTTCCAATAAAAATAAAAGCAGAATCTTAAGAAAATAACAATAACCTAACTTTTTAGAATATTTACGTGCAATAATTCATATATTATTGTTGATCTCATGATGATGCATTGAATCACACTTTCTTACTCTATCTGCAAATTGAAAAAGCATGTTTTTACGCGATAATACCGCTGTAATTACTAGACAATTCGTAATTATTATTAATAACTCGTTAGTATAATGGTTTTACTTGATAAATAAAAAATATTTTTATTGAACGGAACCAAAAATAATCAAATAATGCAAAGAATTGTTATACATAGAGAGAGATATATGGTGAACATAATAAATGTATGAGTATTATAAATAACTACTATGGCACTTTTTTTTAATGAAGTTCTTGTGTCCTAAGACTAAAATATAAAGTTACCAACTACAAACGGGTCATGTCTAATGCAATCCTTCTTCAGTTTCATTCCTGTCTCATATTCCTTATCATCAAATTTTTTTATAATCTTTTTATAGTTTTATTTTAATCTTTCTTATTCAGCAAAATAGAGAAATATAAAAAAAACGAATGATTGAAGACGCTGGTAGTATCATGATATCCAAACCGTGCCTATAAATCTTCTTGCCGATACATATATATCCTGGCAACAAAAACTCAATGTCCCGAATATCGATAAAACCGAAAAAACGTAACAAAACATAACTGAAAGACTTCCGTGAGAATTTAACTCGCCCTTCTCGCTTCTTCGTCTTCTTCTTTTGGAGAGGCGTGCAATAAAAATCAATTGGTTTATTGTATCATCCTCCTTTTCTCCAGGATATCGTGACGGACCTAATGTCATTATTGCATGAGAGGTTCACGATATTTATTGTTAGAGAAACTCATACTATTAAACCTACAGGGTCATACTAATAGATATAGTTTTTAGTCAAGTTTGATGTCTTAGTGGCTTGAATCGTTTGTAAATATGGCTACTTTAACCATCGAACTAAATATAGAAACGATAATTGTCGATTTAAGAGACAAGTTTGAAAGAATAGTCAAATTTGTCAGGAACTTTAAAAGTTTGGTCAATGAGCTTGAAGTAGACATATTTTTTAAATAGTCCATAGAGAACTGTCTTTTATAAGGCTGAAGTATTCTATATTGACTAACGATAGTATTGGATAAAAAAGCTGGTCAATTATAGCCATTTATATGGGAAACGTTGTTCATTCAAATCAATAGTGGTTTATGATACTGTCACGAAGTTGAAATATAATACATAAATATAGAAAACATAAAGTTTATTATCATAAAAATGATAGATACACTTGATAATTTTAAACAATTTTAATTATTTGAGACTATAGGTGAGTCAAAGTTTCCCTATCCATTTTCTAATATTACTCTAGTAAAAGACAAAGATCAAATTTAAGACAATAATAGCGTTTCTCCCAAAAAGTAATGTATCACAACCTTTTTACAAATCTTTGGAAACAAAAAGTAATAATTTACGTTATCCCTACTCAAAATAAAGTTGTTTTAGGAACATAGTATATTTTCTTATAAAAAAGAAGATTCCTAATTTGAGATATGAACGGTTCCAAATTTAGGAGACACACCTAATTTGAGACACTACTCAAAAAACCCTTCCTTTTACAAAAATGACAAACAAAAGTGTCGCTTCGGATTTCCCCCACAGTCTTTATGTAACCATCTACCACACTGGATGCATTTAGCCCTTGTTTCACAATGTTTATCTTTTGAGTACCGACCCATACAAAATAAGCATTTAGCGTCACTGCCACCGCTTCTGTCTGAAGACGCATTGTTAAATTTAACACTTTCATTTCTGTCTAAGCTTGAAATGGACCTAGCACGCCTTGCTTGTCTTTTAATCTTCCTAATACCTGATATAGATGGTTGGTTAATATCAGATTCCGTAGATTTTGTCATATCCTTCTTCGGTTGAGTTTCATTTGACTTCTTTTGTAACTTTTTTTTTTGAAGACTTTGGTTCTAAACTAGATCCTAGATTTTTCTTGGGTACTGACTTCTTCTTTTTTTCCCAAGCTCTCTTGTAGCTTATCTTTATAAGAAGTCAATGTAACAATTGACGCTTTTCCAGTTCTAGAATTTACTTTTGGTAGTTTTTTGCTTTTTTTAAGTAGGTAAAGGACAAATATCTTTAGGGGAAACAAGAATATTTTTAGAAGTTGCTGAAACCGTACTTGGGGTACGAGGCTATCTGTTTGATACGGAAACCAACGACAAAACGATTTCATAATTCTGTTTGCTGCTTGAGGCAGGTGAAATGCTCCCAGTGTCATATATTTGCTCTTCTGCCACAGATTCTGCAGTTTCTTCCGAAATATTTAAAGCTGTTGAGTTTTCTTGAGTTAGCTCCTCAGATTTGTGACCTTGGCTGAGAAGATGATCTGCCGTAATATGTTCAGATTGATGTACACCAAAATCATAATCCCTAAATATATTTCAATTGAGTTCTGTTTTTTGTTATAGGCTTTGCCCAAAATAGCAGTAAACGCATGGGGGAAACAGTACTTAGCTGAGTTTCTAGCCAGTTTTCTATTTCCTGGGCGTAATACGTCATTAGGGGCGACATAAAAGCTACATTTAATGGTTGCATTTAATTTTTTGAGTGTGGCGGAAGGCATATTATTACCACGTGATTTTTTGTTCAACGGTTTTAGCATGTGAATAGTGCCCATACAGTACAAGCAGAACTGGATCAGAAACGCTAGGTTTTGTAAATTTATAAAAACTTCTAACCATCTCGTAAAGATATACGTTTGTACCCAACCGAATATATGACATTCTGCAACTAGCCTTTTTCCTGGGAAGCTTTAAGAAAGATCCGGTAGGGGCAGTACATGTTTCGAATTCTCTATCGACAACTACGTCAAACGTACGTTTTATTATTATTAGAAAAAAATATAAATATAAAAAAAATTAAAAAACAAATTGTCATGCCTACAAAATATTGTGCGTTTGCTAATTGTACGTCTGACAGTCATTACATGCAAGATGGTTTAAAATTTGTGCCTTTTATAAAACCACAAGTTATGTTGAGACATGCTGTTCTTTGAATTTGTTCTAGTTTGCAAATAGCTGTCAATTGTTGGGTTTTTGGGTACCCAGACAACTGCACCGTATATAAGCATACTTATGATGGCCGAGTAATTTTATTTCCCTCAACTAATTCAATCTGAATGTTTGGTCTATCTGTATGAATAAAATTTTTTCCGTTTGTTTTTCTTCACATGGAACTTACTAATGCTGTTGTTAGCGGTTGTCCGGAATATTCTACTGTTTTACTGCAGATACGGCTTGAATGACCCTGTTTTCTGGACGAACCAAAAAGGAAGAACGGTCTCGTATTAAATTAAGAAATTTAGGCAATTTAGGAGCTCGTAAAATAAATTTAGGAGAATAAAGCGAAACGTGTTTATATTTTACTCGATGTTTTTTCCAATTAGGGATTATTGGAAAACTATTATTAAGAAAACGTAATGGTTTCTCGGCACGTATTCTTAAACTAACAAGAATAATTTTCAATTACAATTGAATACAATTTATTCTAAGTTAATATTTATCAATAAATTAAACTTGTTAAGCTCATGTTTTTATTATGAGATAGAAGAACTGGAAATTAAAAAAAAAATGGTTCTACATAGCTAGAAATGTAATTAGATGCTACGTGCACGGGGCTGACCCTTTTCACAGTACAAATGTTAACAAAATAAAATATACTGTCCAATGAAAGATAGCAAATAGAACTTTTTGGTTCGTTAAAAGAAATTTATACGAAAAAAAGAGAAACGAAGATTAAAAAACAAAAAAGTGCATTTATAGAGTAATTTCAGGAAATATTTCGTCGGAATGAGAAACAAGGCAATATAACTCGAAACTATTCCAATAGACAAAATTTTAAGCCGTACCAATAATTAGGAGATAAGCAATCATAATAACAGCAAAATAAATACAAAAAAAAATTCATTATCCGATAATATCTTGAACTATCTACCAGTGTCTGGCTGTAAACAGCGGTGAGTAAAAATGTCATTAAAAAAATATCTCAGTAGAAATTATATTTCTACTTGCATTCATAGTCATAAATTCCGACCTAATTAAGTTAGTAAGTTGTTAGAAATATGCCATCCATAATCCAAACTATCGAAGGTTCTAGAGAAATAAATAGAAATTACGTCTACATGATGTTTTTGTCAACTTTCTTTACACAAGAACTGTGTAAAACAACAGATTTGTTATAGTAGATTGTCCTTTAATAAATCTATGTTATAGGTATAATAAAAATTAAATTAAAAGAAATATGTGTTTTTGAGAAATTACCAAGAATAGTAATGAGCCTATAAATTGAATATTTCGTTAATAATAGTTCCATCAATAGTTTCTTAATTTAAAGGATAATTATTGCAATATAGCTGCGCCTGTTAATGTTTTATGTTCTTGATTCCTCTTCCAGTTTCTTCTGTATAGCAAGATTTTATAAAAGCGTCGACGATGTATTCTAGTGTTTCCATAATGTCACGACGGCTATCTCAATATTTTTGAAGACCATAAACGTAAGAAACAGTTTCTGTATTTCTCGTATTTTTACCAAATCCCCGAAATGATTTTTCGATTCATGGAAGCTCTCGCTGCCAGTTCACATACGCCGCGAAAATTACAGCGCTGAAATGTGTCACTAAGCCCAAGACTTTGCCGACATAAAATGGAAATATAGGTAACATAAAAATCTACTCAGCATTTTTGCTTTTATACATTTTCGGTGACTGTACGTCATTTTTCGATGAATAGAATTTAAATTGAATCATTGGTTAGCGAAAAATTTACTGTTAAATGAGTGGCAGATCAAACTACCGACTAAATTTTAAATGGAAATTATATCTGCTATTTTAGAAGGTATAAATTATTGAATGTCAATATATACCCCATAGCACTCCAACGTGCTTCCCGGCGTCCCCAGCCACAAATTTTAAATGACAGATTTAAAAACATTAAAAAATAAATTTATTATTAAGGTAAAATAACTATTGTAACATTTTTATTTACAAATATTAACGACTATCTTATGGACTGCTATTATTAATAGATTCTTTTTAAACAACACTCATTTTATTTACATTTAATATATTTA